AAAATGTACGATATAACAATGACCAAAATATAAAAGAAGCATATTAAAAATTGTTCTTTATTTGTAAAATAGGTTACAAAGAAAAACCCAAAACAGAGTCAATTTTAGTGTTCACAACAATTTTACAAGCACACTTTAAAAAAAAGTGTCACCACAAGGCAAATACAAAGGAATGCTTTCAAAAACAAGATTTCTTAAGATACATAAACACAGAATGACATAAAATCTTTTTTATAGGAACTATCAATATCAATAAGCACTGACCACTTTTATAGCAGTATTTCTCAACAACTGTGGTATTTCAGATACATATTTTAGAATATTATATTCAAAAATTAATTTAAGTACTTCATAAATAGTAGGCGTTAACTTTCAATATAAGTTAGATTCATTACTAGGCAACAAAATAATCCCGAACAATAACTGAAGAGACAGGAAGAGCATGTAAAGTGACACTAAGAAAACAATCAAATTTTTGAGATTAAGAACACGTTCTTTAACTTATTCCGTCAAAATAACATGCACAGAGAAACATATGTAATTTAACCTATTCCAGCAAGACAACATGTACAAAGAAACATGTTTACAGAACGTGTTTAAGAACATGTTATTTTACATATTCCGTAATGTCATCAAAAAAGCTATTTTTAAATAATGAAAAAAAATTATCGATGTTAAATGTTATATAACCACTTTGCTATAATCCTAATCTAGTTTCCTTTACTTGCTTTTTGTAGTAACTTGTACTTTATTTTTGATTTGCTAATATAAGACGCAACAAAAGAACATATTTAAATACCGTATTAAAGAACATGTTATTTAATTTCTTTTGTTAAGTTTTCAAAAAAAGAAGGTTTTCAAGGGATAAAAGAAAATGTTTTGCAAGCAGTTCATTGATGTTTAATTCCTTCTTAAACTAATAAAAAAATAAATATAAGACTTGCTAAAATATCACATAACATCTTCCACTATGCTTTTCAATTGAGATCTTTAGTGCTGTGATTATTAAAAAGTACTAAAATATGTAATCTAAATCTCTGAAGGTTTCTTTAAATTTCATACATTCGAAATATTAGAAAAATGTCGAACATGAACTTCATATTAAAAAAAAAACATTAGCCATTGTTTCACAATTATTGAAACTTTGAAATGCAGAACTCAAATAAATTGCTAGCTTTAAATTGTATTAAAATCTTATAATATGAACTCAACTAAATAAAGAGAATCTGTTAAACATCGCCAAAGTTTAACCCATAAGTTGTATCTTTAGGTAATCAGTGTAAAGAGAAATTCGTGTAAAAAGGTTAAATGACCAATTAAATTAAAAAAGATGATATTGAAAGAAAATTATATAGGTCCATTTCAAGTCCTTAAACAAATTTCTAACAAAAAAAAAACATATCTTCAGAAACCAAATTCAAATAAATGAAGTTAAATGTTATAATTGATTAAGGAAAACTTATTATTAAAAGAAAAACGAAAAACAGGTTAACAATTTTAAAAAAAATTAATGAAGAAATTAAATTTTATTTTGTTTTGAAAAAGCAGTGTTGTTATATAACAATACTTATTAAAATCGTTTGATTATCTGTGTCAAACAAACGATAACAAAAGTAACAGTTAAAGTGGAAGTAATACTTAACTTTTCACTGTCGTGTTTTGATGAAATATTTGACATTGAAAAATATTTCGTTAGGGCGAAAACGAGAATACTTTCCTATAAAGTTAAGTGGACTTTTTTATTTCTTTCTTTATATAGGTAACTTCTCTCTCAGACTCGAATGGTGTTTTCGCCCTCCGTGTGACCTTCACCTGGTAACCGTGCATAAGTTAGAAACGCAGGTTGCATTCTGAAATGGCCTTTTCTTCCATCCGGATGAGGGCTGGGTGAGGGATACGATAAAAGAAAAGTTCCGGAAAAAAAAATTATTTCGAACAACTTTTGTTTTTTAATGAAGGTATACATACGTTTTCTATTTCCGTGCCAGTTACAAGCCGAATAATCGTTTAGTGTGGCGAATAAAAATTCTTTTAGCATCCGGTATGCCAAATGATATTTAGAATTTCATCAGATAAGAAACATTTCGACCATTTTATTGGTATAAATAAAACAAACAAAAGAAAAAAATTAAACAATGAAAACGTTATTTTGTCCAAACATTAAGTAAAAGTAATGGGTTCAGTTATACCCTAAACATATGTGCCTCCACGTTGTAGTAAAATAAAGAGTATTGAAACTAAAAAACTTAAAAAATTTCTATGAATTAAGAACATTATTGAAAAATAATAGCAGAACTACTTTGTAAATTGTGTTTTGAAATTACTTTGTAAGACACTTGTGGAATCCGGTTATTTGTAACTCACATTACACTTAAACTTTTTTTTAAATGAAAAGAAAAATAAAATGTCTCAAAACAGCATATTTATTAATCCTAAACTCTGACAACAATTTTCATCGTATATGATCTTAAACCTCATGCAACTCACTAGAAAATTTAGAAAAGTAGAAACTGCAATGTAGCGAAAAAGAACTAGATAGATTAAAAAAAATTCTAAATATGCTATTTCTCAAAATAATTATAAAAGAATAATAAAATTTGTTCAAAATAGTTGTTTAAAAAATACCTGCAGCAGTGAAATATTTCATATAATTGTAACTTTGCTAATAAATTACAGAAACCTAAATACAAAAACAAATAAATAGTTTATAATAAACCCTGAAACATGCATGTGCTAAAACTAAACCAACAGAAAACGAACTTTATTTTCATTTTATTTTGTCATTAACTAATAAAAAAAAAAACGCTATCATACACAAATATCTTCAACGAAAGTTAACAATTTCAATAGCTATTTCTACAAAAACGCGTTGACAAAAACAAAAATATACCACAAAACATTTAGTTTCAATAATTCCTGCATTTTTAAGCGACAAGAAAATAAAATGATTAAATGACAATGTGCATTTTTTTTATACATACGAGTTTTTTTAGTTCTATTTACGACAACCTTCTACTTTTTCTAAACAATTTCGATATCTAATCATACAAATTAATTTGATTGTCGTTAAATATTAGCGTAAAGTTTAAATCAAGATTAAAACTGCAGCAAGATAAGAAGTGCGCGCTTTTTATCAAACTATTAAAAAAATTAAACATTGGTGTCCTTGACCGTTTAAGTAACTGTATTTTTGATTACCTTCGAAATTCATTAAATGCATTCACGCTATGTAGAATTCAGCATTCATACGAAACAATTTTTGGAAAGTTTTAAGGCAGTTCATATTTCCTACTCAAGATGAAAGTTTATAGATTGCTTTTCAGAACAAAAAGAATAATAGGTTAATACCGAATCAAACTATGAAATAAAATAAAACATCTGTGTCCTTGACCATCAAAGTAACTGCATTTTTGATAACTTTTTAAAGCTCAAAAACAAAAAACGCATTAAGACTTCGTGAAAACATACAACCATAAGAAACTTATGAAACGAAATAATTTTACATTATTCCATGACAATTTTAGAAAAGTTCCACTGAACATTTCTGGTCGATTAATAATTCCTATTGAAGTAAAAGTTAAAATAATTTTACATTATTCCATCACAATTTTAGAGAAGTTCCACTGAACATTTCTGGTAGATTAATAATTCCTATTGAAGTAAAAGTTAAAATAATTTTACATTATTCCATCACAATTTTAGAGAAGTTCCACTGAACATTTCTGGCCGATTAATAATTCCTATTGAAGTAAAAGTTAATAGATTGTTTTTCAGAACGAAGAGAATAATAAGCAAATACAGATGCATTATTTTAATTCTAGAAAGAAAAAAAAACATCGCCAAAATAAGAATGTAACTTTAATACGTAAAACGTGAAATACAGCTGGATAGGAATTTCGCTATGTATAAGTAATTGCAGCTGGACCCACAGTAAAAGATGCATTTAATATGTCATAAAAATATGAATTGCTTTCCTAGGTAATATAACATTGGTGGAAAAACAAACGCTCAACGGTAATCAATACAAGTGTACAGAAAGAACAAAGGAAAAAAAAATATTTATTTTCTTTCTCCAACTAAATCTGAAATCTTACAACTTATAAAGAAAAATAACATGCACGATGTTAGAAATTTAGGAAAAAGAAAGAATTATCATTTTAAAAACAATATAAAGGGAGAAAATATTTATTAATTTTAAAAACATAGCTTGTTAATCAATTAGCATCATGGAAGAAGATCTAGTTTCGTTCTCAGACCATACGAATTCATGATTATCTTAGAAAAAAAATGTAAGGAAAAATATTATTACGTCACATTACAAAATCACTAACTCCATAAAAAGCAATTTCGTCATAAAGCAAAAATGCATAGAAATTTTACTTTTATGCATTTGGGTCGAATTTTTCCCTCCTTGCGACGAAACTGGAAACGGAAAATCATCCTGATTTCGTCTATTGCTAAATCCTTCTCTAGGATGTCCCTACATTCTCGCAAGATTTGAATTTCGTGCCATTAGAACTTCAAAAATGTTAGGAACAATGAAAAAAAAAAAGATTGGTAGTTAAAAGTTACGGGCTATTAGAAATGAAGCGCTACACGAAACTACAACAGTGCTTTTTTATTCTTAAGCAATATTTAGAGCACCGTCGTACCATTTTCAGAAAGCGTTTTTTTTTTCTTTTTTTTTTCTCTCCTCTTCTTGGTGACCAAAATTAGCTGTCCAGATGATGCAATTTAACGCTTGTTTAACTATTTTTTGGGGTTGTATTTCAAGGTTATACCACGATTATCCTAGCTTTGGAAAGATGAAACTGAGTGGCGAAATTTAGAACATTTATACAAAGTGATTGAAAATTTTGACGAAAGAGTGCGTATGGGACAGCAAAAAACCAACCCCTATTGTCAAATATGATGTTCTTAACATAACCCTATACCGTATAATACATAGTGAATCAATGAAAAAAAATCACACTTTTCAATTAAAAAACCTGTTTTTTTTAAAATCAGAATTACATCTTGAACAAATTTTAGGACAATTTGTAGATAACATAACTTTAAAGTAATTTGAACGAACGCTCAGAAAGTTTGAAGTAGTTTGAAGCGAAAATTGACAACATTCCAAGAAAACAAGCAGGTTTTACCTTTAACTGAGTTTGGAATCGACTGTTACAGAAATAAGTTTATTTATATTATATAGTTTTAAGCAATATTATTAACCAGAAAGTGTCAATGTAAAAATCAAAGTTAAATTTGTTATTAAAGCTATTACCCAATCCAAAGGAGTGCTTGTCAAACGAAGTCAGTCTAAGCTGAGTTTAAAATATAAAGCGGATAAACTACTTAAATGTCATACATTTAACCGTCCATCAAAAATTATGAAGTAGTACTAAATTATATTTTTCATACGTATTAAAAGAAAAATAAGACTCGACATGAATTTTTAAAAATAGAGAGCTAAATACTCATAGAGTCAATTAATGAACTTAGTACAATATAGGTTTTAAAAAAATCTTTCTAATAATATTTTTTTAAACTCTTCATTTACATCAACAGTACATCTAACTTCAAACAACCTTTAAATAGTGTATTACAATTCAAAGAAGGAAAGCTCAGGAATTCTTTCCAGTGAATTGCCTCACACAGAAAGACTTCAAAGTTCAACAGTAATAAATATGTAAAAATTCACAACTATAATCTCTTAATATAAAAATATACATTCAATTCTTAAGACTATCTCACTATATATAATATAAATATTCCATAAGCATTATGGCACACTACATGTTGAAGGCAGCATTATATTCGGTGTAAAAGACAAAGGCGAGACGATTGGTTTCCATTACACGAATAAGGCAACGTTTTGCGAATATAGTTGAAATTAAAATCTGAATTCAAATCAGAAATAGAACTCTTATTTCCAACAATTATTTCTTCAAGGTCTCCTTTCACAGATTTCCGTAGTTCTTGTCTGGCCCGCCGCAAAATATAAGTCAGTAAGGCAATACTAAGAACAACCTAGTTAAAAATGAGAATAATTCATTAATATAATAAATATATTAATAATTGAAATTACTTAAAAACAAAAGGCTTGCTTGTAAATTAAATACGCTGGAAATGGCCAACAGTTCTCTAACTCAAGCCTCGTCAAGTTTTCTAGTTACCAAAATATAAAGCAAAAGTGATTGGAAACAATCCCCACTCCTTCAATTTCGAACTCATATCTTTTAACGATTTTTTTTTTCAAACTTTAAAATATTTTTATTAACAATTCTTCTAAAAATTTTAATTTTCTTGTATATTGTAGTAAAAAAACAGTAAGTATAGTAAAAAAACGTAAGGTAAAAAAGTTCGTTTTTTTTATGTTCATATTTTTATAAATATTTAAGTTAGGTTTACGAAATTTTAAGCAGTTATTTCATATGACAATCTTATATAAGTAATAATCTTTCATAAGTAATTGGTTACAATCTTATAGCTATATTTCTTGGCATAGAGTGCTCAAAAAAAATTTTCCCATCGTAATTTATTGCCGGTAAAAGCTTTAAACTTCATTGATATGTGTATAAGAATCTCACGGCTTAAACACTTATAAAATTTAAATAAAAATAATTCCACATCAGTGGTTACCAACTGGCGGGCCGCATACGGCTCGCGAACCTTTTTTATGGCCCGCGAACTATAATATATTAGTTGTCATTTTTCTGCGGACAATTTTCGTAAAAAATCTATATGGGATTAAAATACTTTTCTTTCTTTAAAAAAAGAAGGGAAAAAAACTCATTTCTTCGTTTCTGTGAAATTTAACTTGTCAACGGTGCAAAAAAAATTTTTTCTCAAGTTTTGCATCCAAGAAAATATTTATTCAAATACAAAAATAATCGTGTATGTTGCTCTTTTTTATTTCGTTTTTTTTTGTTTTTTGTGAATATAATTTTAGCATGTGTGTATCAGAAATTTTCTCGAAGATATTCTCCGATGTAACTTTTTGAAACCACTCATTTTGGACGAAATTATTTACATTTGAAAATTTTGTAGCCAGAATTTTTTAATATGCAATCAAATATTTTTTTTAAATATATTTCTTATTTTAATTTGTAATTCAATACTTTTGTTTTGTACAACTCGATAAAAATTTGACAGTACTATTCAAGGTTTCCTTCAAACATAAAAGAGTCTTATATAAAAGTTTGACAAAGTTGAGGCCTGCCATTTGACTGGTGTTTTTAAATGCGGCCCCCGGCCGCATGTAAGTTGGAAACCCCTGTTCTATATTTTTCTTGAGAAATATGAAAAAATGATTTTTAATGTAGACGCGTTTTTATAATTCTGTCCTGTATCTTTTTTGGTTAACTATTCATAATTTTAAAACTGTTTAAGACATACAAAAGTATTATTTTCAAGAATCAAAAATTAAACTAAAATAATTTTGATATTTTCTTATTGTAACCAAGCAACGCCTTAAAAAACTCCATAATGTTTTTTGCAATAGAAAAAATAAAAAACGAGCATTATATGCTAGTTACTTTTTAATACGCATTTCTTTTACTGATAATATTTAAAAACAAGATAGAGAAACATTTGAAAGAAAATGTTTTTGCTCTGGAGATTTCATTAACTTACTTTGATAATAAAAACCCCAAAAGGGTACATCTAAAATTAAACTTAGTGAAATTCTTCCCAAGGATGAAAATACCATTAACAGAACTTAACATTTTAATATTACAAATGCATTAAAAATACCATTAACAGAATTACCATTTTAATATTATTTCACCGCTATTATAGTTATGGTAGGGATGAAACAATATTAAAATAACTAATCGTCAGATTCTAATTTTCAATTCGTAACAAAAGAGTAAGAACAGTTTTAGTTTATTAATTTCAAATGCATTAAGTTCATAGATGAACAGAATTTAATTTTTAAAAGTTTTAACCTTTTTTTTCAATCAGTCAATATTAGCTTCATTGATTTTTAAATAAAACGCTAAAGAAAAAATCTAAATTTTTAATACCCCATTTCGTAGAGTAGCTAAGACAACCACTCCCCCTCCCAAAAAAAAAGATTAAGATACCGTCTCTATTGTACAGTTTGGTTGTATTGTTTATCCAATGTCAAAAAATTATGAGATGATTTTCAAAAATCAATTAAACAAAAACTAGAGGAGATTGAAATTTACGACTTCTAAGTTTTGCTTAGGAAAGGAGATTTAACCTTTTCCTCGTCGAATTTTTAAATTAACTACTAAATTCATCAACAAATGGTACTGTTGATTGGAAACAAACAGAATACAATGTTTTCTGTGGCATGTGAGATCATTTCAACTGAAGTATTTGCACGGCTATATGTTAATCATGCCCTCAAACGTTAAAACTGTAATTGATGGTAATTTTAAAACCGTTGTTTTATAGTTTTCCCTGCAACACGATCTGTTAAAAAAATTTTTAACTAACTTTAAACTCGATGAAAATAAAAACAAGCGATCTAAGCAGTAAGCAGAGCCACCGTTGTTTCATAGTTTTCCCTGCAACACGATCTGTTAAAAATTTTTTTAACTAACTTCAAACTCGATGAAAATAAAAACTATCGATCTAAGCAGTAAGCAGAGCCCGGGTGGTTACGAACACTCAGAAAGAAAATTCCCTGATTTTTTAAGTCTGATTTCATCGAATTTCGCTGATCTTCGTAACTCATGGCACAGATTTTATTATAAATTTTTAAATTATACTTTATTCTTCAAATTAAAATTATAGAATAATTTTTTTAGTAAATATTCCACTTTCAGATACCTCAAATAAATTTATTCCTTTCTGAGACTTTTTGTGTATTTTAGTTAAATTCCTTGACATTTCCCAAATGTTTCAAGACATTCCTTGACATTTCCCAAATGTTGGTAAAATTCCTCGACTTTTCCCTGTTCTCCATAATTTTCTTATTCTTTTGACCAACCTGAGAATGCAACAAACTGTACATTTCTATCTCCTTATATTTTCCTGCACATGATTTATTCGAAAAGTTAATCTTTGAGACACGAGTTAATACAAGTAATACCATTATCAGCTCGCAGATCAAAGATATGTAAATGCATACCTGCAGAATAAGAACTCCATAGCCTACAGTAGCGGTGTTTTCATCTACTAAAACTTCTTCCATGGATCGGACAGTCGTGCCAAGATAAACACTGATGAGCTGGGTCGGAAAGAGACCCAAAGCTGAAGCTCCAACATACCTCCATATGCAGACTGGACTGATCTAAATATTAAATAAAAATCTATTTAGCATTACAAATGTATTAAAAATTAAAAGGTGAGTATTAATGATTTAATAAAATTACTCAAGAATAAAAAAAGGAGCTAATTGAAGAATTGGTGGATAACTGTTGAGTCAAAGCCCGCAATCAATTCGCTATGTAATTTTAAATCTTGGTTTACATTTGCAGATAACATAAAATATATAACTAAGAATCTGCGCTAAGTTTGTGTCGCTGAAAGTCATAGAAAAAATTCTTTTTACAATAATTAAGGCGTCACCTTAATACTTTTCTCGGAATCAGAGTTTTGCAACATTCACATTTTTATGAAAAAAACATTTCAAAATAAAAATTAAGATTTTTTACTTAACAAATTACGCGACAAAAAAAAATCGTTTTAAGGAACATTTTTAAAATATACCTTCATAATAAAAATTTTTTTTTTCAATAATGAAAATATTTTTAGTAAATTGTTCATTCTTATATCGAAGATTTTTGTAGCCACACTATTTTCTAGATTAAAGACTAATATCGCATTCTAAAAGTTTCTAAATTAAAAGTACAGTAAAAACTTCTTGGCCATCTTTAGAAAAAATTTAAAATGGATAAATAAATTAGGAAAATAGGAAACATCATCATAAAGTTTTACTTTTAAAATTAATAATTTATTTAAGCACGTTTGTATTTTCATTCTTAAATAAAATGTTCTACAGGGGAAGAAAAACTTTCTAAAAGAAAAACCATCCAATAACCCCTATCGCCGCTAGAGTAAATGCGGAAAAATTTCGTACTATCACTCTCAATGTAACGCGAATGCGGATTAGATATAATCAAGCAGCAACGAAACGACCATTTGGAGAAATGGGAGGAATTCCTGGTGAGTTGCCCAATTTCGCGTTGATTTTGAGATGAAAAAAAAGGGGGTCAGTTATGGGGAAATTGAATAATAAAACAGCATAAACTTAAAAATAAATTAATTTCAAAACAATCCAGGCAATCGAATTAAATTTCACAATAATGTTATGGAATACATTACTATTATATCATTATTTAAATTTTTACTATGGTTTCGGTCACTTTGAACTAAACTAATGTGAGACAGTGTCTCCAAAAGTGTCTATGGAACCTCAGAAACACCGTGAAAACTAACTTGCAGCGATACTTAACTTGAGCAACATTCCCTTTAATGTTTCACATTATGTGTAAGACCTATAGCAGGATAAGGAGATAAACTTATATTGTCTCAAATATACTTCTAAAATAATCAGTCCATCGACAATGATGAAATAAAATAAATCGAATGCTATTTGCCTCTTTGAGAAAAATTCCCTTTTACGAAAAGAAACAAAACCGAATGATTTCGAAGCTATAATGGTTGACACGAGGAGAACAGGATAAACCTATAAAAATTTAGCCAACAAAGCAGCTAGTCCCAGTGATGTGATAGTTTAATCAAGGTTTAGAGCCTCAAAAAGTCCTGCTCGAAAATATATATTTCTATCTCCTAATGGGGATTATTAACTTGTACTTTAAATTCATCTATGGATTATATTTGAATGCGTCCAATTATCTTTAAAACATCTAAAAACAAATACACATTTAGATAATAAGTATCAAACATTTTACAAAGGTGACATCACAATAGCTATTTTTTTAAACTAAAGATCACGCAACCTGCTATAAAGATTAGAAGAAAACTTTACTATTTGAATAAGGGAATGAATGCTTTAATTGAAAGCATTTTGAGCGTAAGAACATTTTAATGATTTACAAACAGATCGAAGAAAGCTACGTTCTCCTTAACTAACCAAGCAAAGAGCAAATCCGTTTCAGATTTCAACATTTTTTTGTGGATAAAAAAGATTCTTTATTCATTTTCTTTTTTTTTCCCCTAAGAAAATGAGCCACATCCAGGTAAATTTATTTTTAGTCGCAATGCATATAACTGTAAAAGTATTCATTATCGCTCCAATAATACAGCGAAACACATGATGCACATAATACATTGAAGCATAAACATCTTCTCACACAATCGGTGGTAGAGCCGTAACCAGTGTCAATATGTCAAAGAAGTTAATAAACTGTTACAGTTTGGTACAAAAGTGCCAGCCTATAGTCCTAGCTCTTTACAATATTTAAAGCGGTAGCGAAATAACAATTATAGAGACTTTGTTTATTTTACAAGTTTCTCAAAATTCTCATCAAAATTATCAGTTGTTTTTATTGCATACTAGCTGAGTACTTGTTCTTCACACTGGGTAAAAAGTAAATAAATATTAAATCGATATTAATCGGAGCTACAAAATCATGCACAAAACTAAAAGGTATACTGGCATAATAGATGAATAGATAAGATAATTCCAAGTGTCTTTATTCACTATTACTTTGTTGCCCTTCCCGATGGCTTTACGTTATTAGATTAAGCAAAATACGTTTTTAGAAGTCCGTTCCATCAAAATAAGATTAACGATATTCATTCAGCGTAATGCTCAAGAATAACTCTTAATAGCCAAAATTCAGCACAATCAAGAATTTTTTTCGGTGCTTATCTCTTTTGAGAGGCCATAAAAAATCTACTACTACAGTACCTATATTAGCTACATTGGTACCAATAATTAATACATTTATTAATATATTTGGTACCTATAAAAATAGCATCTATGACCACAATACTATCAAAACCTAAAACCAAAATTAATTAAGCACCATTGGTGTCAATAATAGCATTGCGATTTTTTACGATTCTCCGAATCGAATAAGTACCTTTTGTCTATTACCTTCCTCTTAATACATAACTTATTTATATTTTTAATTCCATTACCGTTGATTTTAAATTATTTGTTTTTGTAAAAACACATTTCAAATGCGTAACGATAAACAAATTAAAAACATTGTTTCAGAAAACTTTAGGGATATTGAGTATGCATGTATACTTTGCATATGCGACCACGTTCACGTTATTAATTGAGCTTGTACGAAATAACGAATAAAAATAATTAAATATTAAATAAGGTGCAATAAACTGTTTTTTCTATTAAATAGAGCTATGAGCTACCAAACATCACTGATGTTATATTTAAAATATTTGTAAAAACAGAATCGTCTATAGTTTAACATAAAACAGTGGTTAATGTAAAGTCATTGAGAAAATTCCACTTTTCAAACGTATTTCCTGTTTGATCAAATCGAAAACTTCGAATAATTTTTAGGATCGAGGGTTTAAACTGCCTCTTTCACCCACTTTCCGAATTTCAGGACGATAGCTCAAACCGTTCTGGATTCATAAGATCTAAATTTATCTGTCATGGAATTTACTACCACTTTAAACATTTAAGAAAAATTTCCTCTTAAAATGGGAGAATGTATGATAGTTCCATGATCATAAAAAAATTGCAAATCATGCCCTATCTAGTTAAAACAAATGACAAAAAACACGAGGCTCATAACTATAACGGATATATTTTTTTAGTCTTTTCATCAACAATGTTAACTGTTATAACAATTCTGCAAGGAAAAAAAAACCAAATCACAAACAATAACATTTTATTTTCATTAAGACATGTATAGGAGATTTAAAAAAAAATTGGTGATAGTGGCATAACATCTCTAATATAATGTTATAAATGTGATGTCATTCTGGTGGCTTCTATTACTAAAACCTTCATTTCGCTTGTTCAAAGAATTGTGATTATAAATTAAAAGACAATCGCTAAGTTCACATTAGAATATAAGTATTCAGTTATATACAATTTTAAAAATTATAAAAACTTCTCGCAAATTCATGTGGCGAAAAGAGATAACAAGTAAAAAACAATGCTTAACAAGTAAAAAATTCCTTTAAAAAGTCTTTGTCTTCTTATCTTTAATATAATATCACTATTAAAATAAAAATTACCATGGAAACAGCCGTAATTAGATAGAATAAAACTAAAGCCATTAGATAAAACTAAAGCTTTAACGTCACGAAACGTTTCATTTGAAATAAGTTGACGGAAAGTACCGTGAAGAATTTTTTTTCTTCTTCTTCCTGCAATTAGATATCTGAATAACGGGGCACAACACTGTATTTGAGGGCTGACGAGAGTAATGTCCTAAGCTGCCATTTGCTTCCACCTGCCCTATTTTTTTTTTACTTCTAATGATTTTTTTAAGAACAAAATTACTCTCTTAACATACTAATTTAAGACAAAAACGAAGGACCTTAAACTTTTATTGAAGCTACAAAGTTATTTTGTATGTTTGCAACAAAAATATTACACTGATCAATAAAATCATCCAAGCAATTATTTTCATTATTTATTTATTATATATGTATAATATATAGTGCTATTTTTCTTGTTTGGAATATTTGCGTGTTTTTCATATTAGATTCATTTAATGTTTATTCATGCAAACATCTCACAAATTAAATGCAAATATAATCCCATGTAGTTATAGTTTTAAAACTCGACTAACTGATTTTGAAAAATAAATCAGGCACAGTAATCACAATAATAATAATAATAAATCAACTGTAAAATAATTTTGCATGCTTAAGAACATTTAAAAATCGCTGATTACGTTTGAAAAGTATAATGCATACCCTTCGTACAAATTTCAGTATGTTTTGAGTTTATTATCTACCGTTTTAAAATATTTATTCAATTTGATTTATTATCATTGACATAACTCAGTGAAATCCATTATAATTGGTTGAGATAAATGCCAGATACAAATAAATCTTTCCTCGAATAAATAAAAAAAAATAGCTATGGTTTTAGGGTTAGATATATTAAATAAAATATTTTAAACCATTTTAGAAAAACAAATTAGTTTTTATTAAGAACATAACAAAACGTAACCCAAAAAAACATTATACCGTCACTCAGTTCTTGTTAAACTTATAAGCATTGTTTCATCTAAATTAGTGTGTTTTCGGAGAACGAAACAAACATTTATATTTAAATACTCAATAAATACAGTATTAAATAGGTATACTCTAAGCTCTGTATTGCATTATACT